CTTAAAGGATACCTGCTGAAGAAATTCATGGCCTCAATACACAGACACCAGAGTGAGCTAAGAATGGAAAGCATTCTTGTGCATGAACTACTAATATTGGTAGATTTTATAGTAATTAAATGATCTCTAAAAACCCTTCAAACAATGTGTGTGAAGACATGATAAAAATAATATTAAACATATCCAAAATTTAAAGAAAAATTTTCCCCTCTTTTTTTGTGTGTGTGATATTAGGGATTGAACTCAATCCTCACATATGCTAGGCAACTACTCTACCACTGAGCCACAAACCAGACCCACAAAGATGTGCGAACACCAGGAAACATAAACTACAAAGTTATAGGAAGCAGAAAGAAAGCATCTAAGTCAGTGTTCAGTTAAGCAAACCCTGAATAAGAAACTTGCAGGCACAACCTGTCCTGTGCCTGACCCTGATTTTTATATATTAACATACTTATCCTAACAATGCTGATACTGCTCACAACAGTTTTCATACTTCTTTTTGGGGAAAACTTTCTGAAGTTGGCTTAGGAGGCATACAAGAGAACCGGTATCTCCACTTCATTCACATTTCAATTCTTAGCTAAGCTAAATATATTTGCACCCCTTCTGTAAATTACTTTGTTGGTTTCCAAAAACCGATGGAGATTAACTGCCAGCAAGATACTCATAAAACTGTGAAACAAGCACTGAGTGATTCCACCTACCATCTAGTTTTGTCAAGAAGTTTAAAATGTGATGTGATTTGCTTATGGAAATGTATTGTTCACAAGACAGTCCTTTGCAGATTTAAGTGTAACTGTTTTAGCACTTAAATGAATAATTACATGTCAAACTCCAAATATAGAGAAATTACATTTGCATTCATATTAGTTCATTTATGTGAAAAAATAAAATAAAACCAGCAATTTCTTAGGGGCTGTAATACTTCCAAATTTTCCCTTTAAAACTGTCATTACAGAAAATTTCAAACACATCCACAGAAGAGAGAACAGTATAATGTAGCCACCATCCAGCTTCAACCACTAACAGCATAGTTAATTTTGTCTCATTTATATCCTCACTCAGTCCCTCTCCCCTGCCACAGAATTACATTAAAGCAAATCCCAGATGTCATACCATTCTCCCCCCATTTAAATAATTCAGAACATGTCTCTGAAAGATAAGGGATGTTTTAAAAACACAACCATAACATTATTTCAAACCTAAAAACAATTAAAATTCCTTAATATCAAATATCAGTTAAGATGTGGTCCCAGTATTAAGTCTAAGAAAATGTCAAGGAAAATAGTATCTGGAAGATATAATATTCAAAACTCAAAAAGGAGCTGTACACTGCAATAAAAAGGACACAGGGTCCTCTTAAATTGGAGCTAGAGATCAGAGGCTTGAATGGAGGAATCCAGGAATGATATGACAAATTTCTAACATTGCATATGAACAATTTTTCTTTTCTTGGTTGACAGCATTCACTCAAATGTCAAGAAGCTTGAGACTCAAAGCATTTAAAGACTTTCTGCCCCTGGTTATGGTTATATGTGCTCAGTGCCACATCACTTCACATTGCCAGGAAGGATTAGTCAAGTAGGAAAGCAAATCCACCTAAATTAACTTAGAGATCAAATGAATTCATCTCAGCATTCACTGAGCAAGTTACTGGGTTATATCTCGAGAAACTAAGACGAATTTGACCTAATTAATTTATAGCATAGAAGAGGAAGGGTCCAAATAAATTAACATAAGCTATATTAGAATGTGATGGTAGTGGTGCAAGCTTTATGTATTTTTTTGTGGACACATATCCAGAAGCAAAGAAGTTAATTCAGAAGAGGTTAAGGGGGAATGGGCATGGCCTGGGGTCCATAAGATAGGAGAAAATTAGAGAACACCAATAATAGTACTAGCTACTACGATGCTTGTCAATGCCACCTTTGTGCAAAGATTTTCTTTACTCACTTGCTCATAGACCTGAATAATGTGTGTGAACACATTATTTAGGTTTTATTATTATAATAGGGTCTATACTCCCCTCACTGGACAGGGTGGGAGAAGGAAATCATAGTTGGAGGAAAAACAACTTATATTTAAGTCAGGTCTTGAGAGTTGAGCAGCTCATCAGATCTGGGGAGAAGAGACTAGGTGAAGAAGGAAGGGAGGTTATTCCAGGAAGAGAAAAGCAAGAACAAAGGGGTGGAAATTACTGGCAGGTTAGGGAACCAGCAGTGTGGTGACCTCAGGGCAATGTGGGAGGGCCTGGCTGACTGGAAATGCTTGCTGGGACCACAAGATGGAATCCTGTTCTGTGGCCAGTGGAGAGCCAATAACAGCCTAATGAGTGTTCCTTGAATTAGCTGGATGGGTAGAGAAAGAAGCAGGCTATTTAGGATCCACCGTAATAGGCCAGAAGTCTAAGGCAGTAGCAGTAGAAAAGGAGATGAGAGGACACATAGAGTATTTCAGACATTTCAGAAATGATTATTTTTAAAAAGGTGGAGTAGATATGGAAAAAAGTACCACACAAATTTCATTAAACAATGGCCTATTAGTATATTCCCAGTTCTGGAAAAAGAAAGGGAAGGAAGGAAGGAAACAAAGAAAGAAAGAAAAAGAAAATGTAGTAGAAATATACATATATGCTATATTTCAGAAAGAAAACATACATTCCCTTTGGTTGTAGGTAATGGAGAAGGAACTTGGGGAAGAAGTGGGAGAGAGACTTCTGTACCTTTGCATGCTAAAACACATGGACATATTAACTATTAGGTAGTCAAAAAATGTACAATGTGCCTCACCTGGCAGGCACATAGAGAATAATGAAAAGAAAAAGTTTTAGAGACAGACCAACCACTCTGAGTTCCAATTCTGGCTTCGACACTTTCTAACTATAGGGTCATAAGCAAATCAATTTACCTTAATTTCTGTTCTCTTATTTGCATAAAGGGACAATACTGGCTAATTCCTGGGTTGTTAGAACAAGGAAAAAATAATCCCATGCAAAGCATCTGGTAGAACAGCTAGAACAGACTAAATACTCAATATTGAGTAGCAATTTTATTATCAAAATATTTATTTGATGTGAAAACATTTTAATATGCTCATTAATTAATCCTATCCATACACCAAATATTTATATTATATAAAGTTATTAACTTAATCTATCTGATAAAGACTCTCCATTAGGTATGTTTCTGGAAATTTAAACTGAACATGTGATTTATTTGCATTTCTAGGTGGATGTTGGTTTTTCTTTGTCTTTAAATGTCATTGACTCTAAATTGATTAAAGTCATTATTCACAGACTAACCAGGTATCATAAAGCACCAAGAAAATTGATAATAATTTGTATCCTCGAGGAACTGACAACCCAGCAAGACAAACAGGTGTGACCTTCAAGTAACCATGACCCAGATTTGGCACAAGAGATGGAAACACTGGCAGGGAAGCACCCAATTCTGCCTATGCATCTGCTGGTAAGATGTTATGTCACATGTTGAGGTTACTCCTCAAGCTTTTTTTTAGGCTCCTGGGTTCCTTTGGCATGATACATTATAAATTGATTGTAACTGTGGCAGTAAAGCATTTTCTGAGTGTTACAAAAGACTGGTCTCTCTCAAAAGCTATGCTACTTGTTTGAACAGCTACATCATTATTAAAGCATCATCAAACAAAAGTTTCTTTGTTATACATGGAGATGAATAATTTGAAACCATTTTCATATGAGATATTCTGGCCCAGATCTACCCTCCTCCCCCAAAGCCAAAGCCTGGCAGGGGGATCAGGGGTGTAGTGGAGAGGCAGCTGGAGTTTAGGAAAGATTTTTGTTAAAGGTAAGAAATAATGATGAATATCTTCCCTGGATTTCAAAAGAGTCAGTAAATGCTTTCTGCACAATGAAGACATAAGGCTAGAGAAAAATGCATTTCACTTTATATATGGCACTATGGGAAGAAAAAGTGGTCCTGGGGATGCTTAACAAAAACCATCTACATAATTATTCAAATATTTCTCTTTGACACAGATGGGTCTTGAGAGAAACATCAATAATTGCCTGTAGACAAACAACAGTAAAACTGCAAACAGTAATTTCTAAAGAAGCTTTCATTGATGCTGTAAAAACATTATGGATGTACACCTTGGAGGAATGACTGACTACATATTTCAGAAAGGGAGTCTTGTTTCTAAGCCACTGAAGAGTGCACACTTTTATATACCCCCTATTTACCTATGGGAAGCTCGGGCTACATTATTACATTTGAATGAAGTTTGGATTAAGAGGCTAATCTAAGACTATATATAGACAGCAACACCAATTTAATCTCCGCCCCTCCTTCCCCTCCCTATTCCATAAATCTCAAAATCTGAGTTACAAAGAGACTGGGAACTCTAGCAGAGTGAAGAGGCCCTTCCTTCCCCTTCCTCCAGGCTGTATCTCATAAATCTAGCATTAGTGGAAGTGTAAATTGCTTCCAAACATCCTTAATAGGCACCACAGGGCGATCAGGTCCGGTTTTCTCCTACAGAGGCCAAAAGGAGATGACAAGTAATGGGGGGGACGAGGTTTGCCAAAAGAAAACTACCTTCTCCGAGTCCTTTACCATGAGCTCATCTCGCTCGCAAAGGGGAGCTCTAGTCCTTACTTCTAGCCCAGAGCCCCAGTGCCCGCCTCCCCGGAGGTCGCATCTGGCTGTGCCACGCACGAGACCATGTGCACCCGCCACTTCCCACCGCGTGGTCGGCCCCCGCCGGCTAGTGCTCAGAGGATCTCCTGGGACGGCCAAACGTGGCGAGTAGGGAGTCTCCATCCCAGGGCACTGATACATGATACATGTGGCGATGAGCGGGCAGAATGGGGGCTTCTTTACTTAGGGGCAGGAAGCCACCCCAGGAGGCACATGCTTTTTCCCCGCCTGCTTTGGCCGTGTGGAAGCCCCCGACGCGGTGGCGGCCACGGCTTCCCCAATCCTGCTACGTCTCCCGGTCCCATCTGGGCTTCCTCTTACCTGTCCGAGGAGGTAGCGACGACGCGCGAGGCTGGGGGCTGCGGAAACTCCTGCAGCTGCAGTGGCGGCGGCAGACAATGGAGGAGTGAAGGACAGACACATTGACATAGACACACGGAACCCAGAGAAGCTCCGCCTCCCGCACCGCCCCCGCCTCCGAGCCCGCCCCCCGCCCGGTTGCGCCACTACGGGGGTTTTTGTGCGTTTGTAGCGAGACTTGCAGAACTTTGCGCACGCCAGGAAGGCAATGTCGGACAGAGAATGCAGGATACAGAATTTTAAATATTGCTTATTCCCAGATAACTGAGCCGGACGTGATGTAGGCGTGGGATGGGTAAGGCGAATTTAATACTCCCCTCTAGTTTTTTCCATTTGATTTTTCCCTCGTAGGTTGCTCCAATTGGAATCTCTGGTAGCTGCCTATTGCAGCTCCTCCTTCTGGCCAGGCCAATGACGCGCGGGGGCGGTGACTGCAGCTGGATCTGCGGAGTCCGCCTTCCCGGCTCGCCGGAGCTCGCTCCTAGCCCGCCAGCCTGTAGGAGCCTGAGAAGTGCTTCCGCGGTTGGCTTCAGTGCCCTGGTCTCAAGTTGCCTCTTTGCGTTTGACGTTCGAAACACAGGCACATCATTTCCTTTGTAACACTTCCTTTTTAAATCTTCAAGCTGGCGGGAGCAATGGTTCACATAAAGAAAGGCGAGCTGACCCAGGAGGAAAAGGAGCTGCTGGAAGTTATCGGGAAAGGTATGGGTGCTGGGCTTTGATCCGGGAGCTGCAAACTTGGCTGCGGAAAGTGGCTGGGCCCCAGGGGTGCCCATGGTCCGGGTGAACCTTTTCTATGGTTCTGTGAAATTGGCAGTCCGGGGTCGGAAGAAAACCGTTTCTGGCTTTGGTCTGGGACCGGTTGCGGGGGCGAAGGTATGGTAGGCAGAAACACTGCTGTTACAGGTATGGAGCTCTGCAGAGGAGCGTCCTCTAAAATCAGCTTTGGAAACGTACGGATTTCCACTGCCCACCATAGACTATAATGAAGCATCCCCAGGGCGAGTGCCCTAGCGTGCATGTTCTTCAAAACTCCCAGGTGATTTTAACCACAGTTCGTCTTGGCGACAGTGGCCTGTTAGTTCCAGGTTATTAGGCGGGTATCTAAAGGGCCCTTTCGACTTCCGGAGGCCGAATTATCTGGATCCCTTGCTACTCCCCGCCCTCGCTTGGAGGGTGGTGGGAGCTCTCACAGAGCGGGGTGCTTATAAGGGCTTAGAACTAGGTCCATAATTTGCCGCATTGAGGTTCCCTGCATTCAGGGCTTCCAGAAGCCCTGGTCGCCGCAGGTTTCTGCAGAGAGGCGAGAAAATTGGCAAGACGTCCACATCCACCCCTTTGCCAGTGTTGACACTGCTGGGATCTTCTAACCCCGCTCCTCAGCGCTTTCCCTTCCACCCTCCCTGAGCGTGTTCCACTTCCGCTGCTCGGGTTTGTAGAAAGGAAGCCACTGGGACGAGCCAGAAGCCATGTTTTGCCCTCAGTCCCAGAAGTGGACGTCCCAGAGGAGTTCTCTGCTGAATCTCGTTACCTGGCAGGTGACCGCATGACCGCATGCCTCTCCTGCACTGTCAAGGCGCTGGGACTGTCGACATGATTAATGTGGTTTTAAATTCAAGAATTAGAAAGCCACGTCTGCCCTCAAATGGCAGAAAGGCCCAGAATTGCATCATGAGGCTGGCTCCCAGGTTCCCTTCTTCTAAGTAGCGAGAATAAGGCCAATTTATTCTTCAGAACAACAAGGAAAGCCCAGATGTAAAGGAGGGGGAAAAAAGAATTTGAACTCAACAGGTGATGATGGGCTAAGCCCATTTGATTTTATCTCAACATTTCAAAGTCATTTGCAGCTAAATTTACCTTGTGTTCTTTGCCAGAATTGTGGGACTTTGGGTTGGGTTGTCATTGTTTGTACTGCACAGTTCTAGATGACCTATTTGGCATTACAGTCTTTCTGTTCTGTCTGTGAATAATCTCTCCCTGTCTTTGGTGTCTCAGAGATTCATTTCATAAAACATATGAATTCCACTTGTGTACCTGCTGTTTTTTGCTGGGCAAAAAGGGACAAAAAATCAACTCGCAGCCCGCCAAGGATGAGAATCCTGATTTTGAACAGGCCAGAACTATCACATATACTGTTAAAAGTGAAAACCAGTGAGCAGTTTTATAAACTAGGTCTCTGAAAGAGGAGGTGGGCATTCCCAGATAAATTCTAAGAGGTCCACCAGTTTTTATTCCAAAGATTATACAAAACAGAATTGATGAACATTTGCTCTTCTTAGTGCTGTGGTGTTTATGGATTCACATCATGGATCAAGTTGCATGAGTGCAGGATGCTATGTTTCATCACTTTTATTGGCCCATATCAATGAGAAAAGAACTGAAGTGGATTTAGTAGGTGATATTGTTCATAAATCAAGGTCTGTGGGCAATCATTGCCCTCATCATTGCCCTCTCAATATGGGTAATGGGAGATATGAGACAATAACAACTATAGCCAGTATGTTATTACAAGCAAGGCACAATTTTAACCACTATGCATGTATTAATGCATTTAATTTTGATGAGCTAGAGATTATTTTGTTATATTATTATGTTATACGATTCCTTATGGGGTGGTGGTTAGCCATGTGGTCTGGTTTTGAATCTTATCTCAATCATTTATTACTGATGTGGCATTGTGAAAGTTATTTTTCCTGAATTTCACCTTTTCCATGTGAATAATGGAAATAATAGTACCTCCCTCACAGCATTATTGTTAGGATGAAATGAGTTTGTATAGGTAAAGCACTTAAAGCACTGTTATCTGTTGCTATGGTAAATATGTTAATTTCTTCTTCATAGACGATGAAAATGAAGTAGGAGAACTTTTAGAAACTTCACACAAATCCACTATTTTAAATGCATGTGATACTCTACAGAAATATATTTTTAGCTTTATATCTGTGATTATATAAAAGTCTATGTCTATGTTTTTAAAATAAGGCACTGTAAATGTTTTCATATAACTTTTTTTTATACCTTATAGCAACTAACAAGCCAAATGATTTCCGTACCTCGGGTACAGATTCCTTCCAATGTCCATTTTTGGGGATTCCACTAAAATAATTATTCAGATATATACATACCTAGTGGCTGAGGGTGTAGCTTAGTGGTAGAGTGAATAGCCAGCATGTGCGAGGCCTGCTTTCAATCCTCAGCACTGCAAAAAGACAAACCTATACATGCCTGAATCTCATGATTTTCTGATGAACTGCTGGAAACAGAATGTCACAAGTTTGTTTCTCCCTGTTTGCTTTAGCTGTATCTGATGATCTTCAGTAATGACCTACGGACTCTTATCTGGATATTAGAAATGTAACAACAAGTTATATTGTGCTGCTCTGAATATGAAATAAAAAGAATGTCTAATATGTAACAAAGGCTTACAATGCACCCATATAGGGCAAATCCTTAGTCCTCTTAAGAATCCTATGGGATGGATACTACTGTCTTTGCTTTGTATATGGGGAAGCTGAGGGTTTTGTAGGTCATGTTGAATTTCATAGTAGTCCTAAAAGGGCAGTAGTGTGGAGGAAGAGAAGATAATAACAGAGAATGTCACTCCTTGCACCATCTTTTCCCTGCTGAAATGCTGGTTTATTCAGATAAACTGATCAGTTTCACCTTAATGAATCAGGTTGTGTTGTATTCTTTTCTTTGTTTTGAGCAACCCAGAAAAGTCCTCAGAAGGAAACAAATTATTAGTATTACTTTCATTAGTTTAGATCTGTTAATTTTTTAGACACAAAAGTCAATATTTATTTAAAATAGCAAAAGAAATTGGATCTGTTAATTTTTTTTTTCTCCAAAGAAGGTAAAATTTGGCTGATATCATGTTTCCTTTCAGTGATGCATCCTTACCTTAAGAATTTGTTAAATCATATTTAACACATTTCTGACTCAGACTATCACAGTTTATCTTTTAAACTTCACTGCAAGATATTGTTTGAGATGTACTATGGGTGGTAAGGAAAGAATAAAGTAAAACCTCAAAATGAGTCATGTTTCTCATTTCTATGCTATTCTGGACTGTTTATGTTTTCTTCCTAATATCATTAAATTAGGAACACTAAATTAAAAGCCAACACAAGGTTTTTTTTTAATTGATATTGTTGCTCATCCGTTTTCTAAAACCTGTTTTAATTCCATAGAAGCCCACACTGTTTCAGAATTTTTCTCATCCTGGTCCTTGCATTTCAAAAGGCTAACCATAACCTATTGAGTGGTGTGTGTGAGTATGTGTTTTCACGTGTGTGAATGCACACACATTTGTGATAAAATAAATATGTGTTTGCTCTCTGCCCCCAGTTCCTGACACAATTCCTAAAACCTTCATAAACTCCTAAACAAGAGTGCTAGGTGCATCTTTTGCTCTAACATTTGGTCTTTGACCCTGGTTACTGAAAACAGTTGCTAATGCCTTGGAATACCTGGGGTCACAGGAGTGTATTTTGTTATAATTTTATAATAAGTTGCCTCTTGGTGGGCTCTTAGATAGCTTCAGAATGGGGCTGGTCACTAGAGCCCAAGTCATAATTAGAATCTCTTGCCATCCTCCAGGAAGGACAGACGCGATGAAGATTGAGTTAATAATAGATTATGTCTGTATTGAAGCCTCCCTACGTATTCTTGAACTATGAGATTCAGAGAGTATCCAAATTACTGCTAGTATGTCCCCCTTCCCATATACCTTACTGTCACATCCACAGCCCAGTTGTGCCAGTCCAATGGTAAGGTTGCTAAAAGACCAAAGAAAGTGCCCAGAGATGGTATGGGAGACGTATGACTTATTGGGAAAAACTTAAATCAATGACAGTTCTACTCCCATCCTTCAAAGTGCTTCACCAAGTAGTGTCTCTGTTCCTCATGGATTTTGTCCCATGGTGGCTGGCTAGGTGAATGACACATATCCTTACCACAGTGCCCTCAGTTCTGCACTAGTCGCCACTGACAGGGGTTTTATGTGTTAAGTTACAGAAGCAGTGACATGAGCATTGGCTTGCTTAGTTTGCTTATGTGACAAGCAGCCCTAGGAGTATTTTCCTGGCATGCAAGAAGGTAG